AAGTCGCCCAAAATCCATGGCATCTTTCTTTTTGGGAATGAGGGCAACAAAAGGTGGTATTGAGGGCTTTCACGAATTTTACCGGTTTTTATGCATCTCCTTAACAACTCCACAACATCATCCTTGATCACATACCAAATTTTTTCTATAAACTTCATAATGAATTCATCCGGCCCCGGAGCTTTGTCTCCATTACACATATTCAAATACTCTTTAATTTCCTCTTCCAAAAAATCTTCCTCCAACCTGTTTCTGCTACCCTCGGACAGCCTGTTAAAATTAAGGCCCTCCAAAGTGGGTCTTTTCTCATACTCTTCCTCATACATCCTGGTAAAATACTTTCTGGCAGCATCTCTCAATTCCCGGTTTCCATTCACCTTCTTTCCTTCATACCAAAGTTCAGTAATACAGTAGCTTCTCCTCCTATGACTAGCCATAGCATGGAAATATTTTGTATTCCTGTCCCCTTCCTGCAGCCATCTCTCCTGGACTTTTGTTTCCAGGAAATTTCTTCTGTCTTAAGCAGATTAGCCAGATTCATCTTCAAACAGTCCCTTTGCTTAATTCAGTCGCTTCCAAGTCTCCCTCCCCCTCCCTCTGATCAATCTCATTAATTTCCATCAAAATGTTGTCGAATTCCTCCCTTTCTCTCTTTCTCTCATCTTTCGTTCACTCCTTGATCCATTCTTTTAACACTTTTAGTTTCCGGGCTATTCTGACAATCATCCATCTTATATATGTCAATGTCCCAAAATCAAAGCACCAAAATAATAAACTCATCTATCTTTAATTTTAGATATCTCCCCTTCAATTCCCCTCTTTCCACACCGCCCAAAAAAGAGTCAATGGAATAAGATTTACAACTTTTTACAAACCCCTCCCATGCCCTACTATTCCTCTTTTTCCACACCACCCAAAAAATAGTTAATGGAATAAGATTTACAACTTTTTACATAACCCCTCCCACGTCCAAATCTCTTCCCTCACTGACTCCGCTAACTCAATTTACCCTAACAAACCATAAACCATGTCCAAAGA